AAGCTGTGCAGTTTAATTCACAGGATTTCTACATTTCTATGTTGTACACTGTAAGCTTGCAGACTTTATGGTCACGTCCCTAACGCATGTATATTTTCATTTATTCATTTTCTTTTCAGCTTAGTCCCTTTATTAATCCGGGGTCGCCACAGCGCAATGAACCGCCAACTTATCCGGCACATTTTTACGCAGCGAATGCCCTTCCAGCAAGAACCCATCTCTAGGAAACATCCACACACACTCATTCACACACCACATACACTACGGACAATTTAGCCTACCCAATTCATCTGTACCACATGTGTTTGGACTGTGAGGGAGCACCCGGAGGAAACCCACGCGAAGGCAGGGAGAACATGCAAACTCCACACAGAAATGCCAACTGACCCAGCCGAGGCTCGAACCAGCAACCTTCTTGCTGTAAGGCGACAGCATTACCTACTGCGCCACTGAGTCGCCCATCTTTATTTTCATTCATTCATTTTCTTGTCGGCTTAGTCCTTTTATTAATCCTGGTTCGCCACAGCGGAATGAACCGCCAACTTATCCAGCAAGTTTTTACACAGCGAATGCCCTTCTAGCCGCAACCCATCTCTGGGGAGAGATCCACATACACACACACACTCATACACTACAGACAATTTAGCTTACCCAGTTCACCTGTACCACATGTCTTTGGACTGTGGGGGAAACCGGAGCACCCGGAGGAAACCCACGCGAAAGCAGGGAGAACATGCAAACTCCACACAGAAACATTAACTGAGCCGAGGCTCGAACCAGCGACCCAGCGACCTTCGTGCTGTGAGGCGACAGCACTACCTACTGCGCCACTGCCTCGCCCATCTTTATTTTCCTCATTTAACATATAAAAATGTTTACAGATTGATCTTTTTCTGATCCCAGAACTCTGTGGTTATAGTTTTATAGACTTTTATTGCTCATTTTTGTAAATTGCACGACTTTCATACCTGTTAAGTTTCATGCCTGTACTCTGGTTTGCTCTCTCTCTCTCTCTCTCTCTCTCTCTCTGTGTGTGTGTGTGTGTGTGTGTGTGTGTGTGTGTGTGTGTGTGTGTGTGTGTGTGTTAAAGAGCCGCTGAGCTAACAGCTGACAGGCCGGGAACACACACACACACTGTATTTCTGACGGCAGACACGTGAACTAGGAGAATGTTTTTCTCGTATTTCTGACGCGCTTGAACCACATGTGACAGATTATAACAGCTTTAACAGACACATTTCTGAGTAGTGTGTCACAAAAACACTCTGTTATCCATTAAAAACATCATTGAAACCCATTTTCAGAGCACAAATTACCAGTTGTACACGCTGTGAACTGAAGTTTTTAGCATTCTACCGGAAGACGCTGGCCGCTGTGGCGCCCTCCATGCAGCAGCCATGAAAAAGCTCTATAGGAGAAATGAAGAACTAAACTGCCTGTAGTGTATGAGTGTATGTGAGAATGAGTGTGTATGGGTAGAAGGGCATCTGCTGCATAAAACATATGCGGGAATAGTTAGGGGTTCATTCCGCTGTGGCGATCTTTGAAACAGAGACTAGGCTGAAGGAAAATGAATGAATTGCTCCAGTGTAAATATCATTGTGTCTCCATATTTAACTTTCTATCAGAAATGACTGCCGTTGGTCACCCATGATACATTATACTGAGTTTGATGAAAAGTAGAAAGAAACTTTCCAAAGTTGACTAATAAATGGTTGCCTCAATGTTTTTGTTTTCCAAAGTGAAGTGTGTGTAGGACTGCGAGAGGAATATGAGGGAGTATCCACGGACTCATGAACACAGATGACCACACACTGGAGATCTCATTGATTTACAGTAATCCAGCGCAAGTTTTGCTCTCTGACACTTAATGAAGGCCTCTGGAGAACCAGCACTGATTGTCTTCACGGCACCAGAGAGAAAGAGATTTTCCCATAATCCCCTGCAGAACGCAGTCCACGCGTGCCAAGAAAAATAAATCTCCAATTGCATTAATTAGGGGCCGACGTCAACGGTGAACGGTGACATCAGTGCACTGTATTGCGACACTGTTATAAATGTGATGCAGTCATGCGAGCTCGCTGGTGTTTACAGGATCTGAGAGTCAAACGCAGCAGGAGATCGGGTTTCAATCGGGTCCTCTGGAGAAACAATAAGAGCCATCACATGTTTCGGGTCTCAGACTTACAGACTCACGGTGGTCCAACGTTTGTTGACCGTGCATCTCAATGTTTTTTCATGCTTTCCAATTTGGCTCGCTAAGATTGCTGTTGCATGTTATGCCAATGTAAATTGTATTATACAGTTGAAGTCGGAATTATTAGCCCTCCTGTATATATTTGTTTAACGGAGAGAAGATTTCTAATCATAATAGTTTTCATAATTCATCTCTAATAACTGATTTATTTTCTCTTTGTCATCATGACAGCTCATAATATTAGACTAGATATTCTTCAAGACACTAGTATTCAGCTTAAAGTGACAAGTCAATGTACAGCATTGGTTTGTTCTGTAGACAATCAGAAAAAATACTGTTTGTGGGGCTGATATAGTGTTGACCTGAACATTAGTTTTAAAAAATGTTTCATTCTAGCCAAAATAAAAAAAACAATTAAGACTTTCTCCAGAAGAACAAATATAATATAGGAAATAAAGGAAACATAGGAAAAACTGAATCTGAAGGGGGGAAAAATTCACAGGAGGGCAAATAATTTTGACTTCAACTGTACACTTACTGGCCACTTTATTAGGTACACATTACTAGTACCGGGTTGGAGCCCTTTTTGCCGTCAGAACTGCTTTAATCTTTCGTGGCAGAGATAAAACAAGCTACTGGAAATATTCCTCAAAGATTTTGCTCCATATTGACATGATAGCGTCACGCAGTTGCTGCAGATTTGTCGGCTGCTCATCCATGATGCCAATCTCCCGTTCCACCACATCCCAAAGCTGCTCTATTGGATTGAGCTCTGGTGACTGTGTAGGCCATTTGAGTACAGTGAACTCATCGTCATGTTCAGCAGTCTGAGATGATTGAGCTTTATGACATGCTGCGTTATCCTGCTGGAAGTAGCCATCAGTAGATGGAGACACTGTGCTCATAAAGGGATGGACATGGTCAGCAGCAATACTCAGGTAGGCTGTGGCGTTGATGCTCAATTGGTACTAATGGACCCAAAGAAAATCTCCCCCACACCATTACACCACCACCACCAGCCTGAACCGCTGATACAAGGCAGGATGATCCATGCTTTCATGTTGTTGAGGCCAAATTGTGAGCCGAGCATCCGAATGTGTCAGCAGAAATGGAGACTCATCAGAGCAGCAACGTTTCTCCAATCTTCTATTGTCCAGTTTTGGTGAGTCTGTGTGAATTGTAGCCTCAGTTTCCTGTTCTTAGCTGACAGGAGCGGCACCCGGTGTGCTCTTCTGCTGCTGTAGCCCATCCGCCTCAAGGTTGGCCGTGTTGTGTGTTCAGAGATGCTCTTCTGCAGAGCTCGGTTGTATCGAGTGCTTATTTGAGTTACTGTTGCCTTTCTATCAGCTGGAACCAGTCTGGCCATTCTCCTCTGACCTCTGGCCTCATCAACAAGGCATTTGCGCCCACAGAACTGCCGCTCACTGGATATTTCCTCTGTGTCAGACCATTCTCTGTAAACCCTAGAGATGGTTGTGTGTGAAAATCCCAGTAGATCAGCAGTTTCTGAAATACTCAGAGCAGCCCGTCTGGCAGCAACAACCGTGCCACGTTCAAAGTCACTTAAATCCTCTTTCTTCCCCATTCTGATGCTCAGTTATAACTGCAGCAGATCGTCAATTCCTAAACGCATTGAGTTGCTGCCATGTGATTGGCTGATTAGAAATTTGCGTTAACGAGCAGTTGGACAGCTGTACCTATTAAAGTGGCCGGTGAGTGTATATCGTAGTTTCTGCCAGTAGCTGGGTTTTCATAATTACGTGAAGGGAATCAATACAAGGATCATGAAACAAATAAAAATAAATGCCAAATGTGAATAAGCTGTGCTTTCATCATGTTGCTAGCGCCACTGACTGTAGTATTGCTAACCTAGCAACCAACAGTAAACAATGCACGCATAATAAAGTCACGTGGATGTAATGTTCGCCACGTCAAGGTTTATTCTGCACTATTCGCATGAACTTATTTTAAGTCCAAAAAGTGAGCATACAAACTTTTTCACAAATTAAGGGATTTTTTCATGGAAGTTTGTTTCTCATGCAAATACAGGTACAGGCTTTTCCTGTACAACAGCATAACACACGGTTTAACAACCACAAAACAATACATCGCTGGAGATTATCTTTGCTGTTTCTTCTTCTTCTTACTGTATTGTTTGCACCACTAGACTTATTTATCAACTCAGGATTGCAATTAATGCCATATTATTATGACTAATTTTCACAAACAGAAAGATGCTAATTTCTAGTCTTTCTTAAATCAAACTGCACAATGTTTTTTTGTGGTTTGTTTGCTGGCGCACGTTGTTTTTCTGTAGGTAAACAAATAATCTGTGCAAGTTAATCCACTGGGAAAAAAGTTTGTTTTGGTAATCTTCAATCACAGTCTAAGCATCTGCTTCTGCCTTTGGATTGGTTGCTTCTCTGATGATGTCAGCCACTATATTTTTAAACCACACCTCTCTTACCTTTAGTTTGCTATAAGGGAATGATGCAAAAAGCCCCGCCCCCTACCTAATTATCTATTTCAGATGGAAGTTCATCAATATACTGAAATCAAAGTCTCTGCAAACCTTTTTTGTTTTGACTAACTTTCAGCATCAATTTTGACCTTGCTGTCTATGGAGGATGAGGGAACTCAAATATTTGTGTTCAGAAGAAAAACAAATGTCTCAGAAAAAAAAATCAGGTAATTAATGGCAACATTTTCCTTTTTGGGAAAGCCATAACTGAAGGGTTCAGGTTATTGAGCTCTGTGTGGTGTTCAAGCAGAAAGTGAAGATTACAGAAAGCCTCAGTGTTACCTGGTGGCGTGTGCGGCTCTGGTCCAGCAGCTGTCTGGATCTGAGTTTCTGCTGCTGGAGCTGCTGGATGGCGAACTGAAGCTGATAGCTGCCCGCGGCCGACCGCTGCTTCTGACTGCCCGGATCACCATCACACACCGACTCGGATTCACACGCAGGCCTGAGACTGAAGAGACACAACATCATCATCATCATCATCATCATCTAACAATTATCATCATCATTAGCATCACCATCAAATTCATCATTGAAGGTGCAGTGTGTAGGGCTGACAACTAGTGGTTGAAGTGGTTCACACCTTAGACTAGACACACACAGACAGACAGGTTGCCAGATTGACAACACCAATAGGATCAAGTACAACAACTGACAATAGAAGCATCCAGCTTCACACTGTAAGCTAATAAGATAGCGTATATATTATTATAATATTTATATTTGCAAATTACAAACTACCTTGGGGATTTTTCCAACTTCAAACAAAGCTTTTTAGGATGTCTAGAATGTTGGATTTCTGACACTATTCCCTATCATCACGCAGCTTTAATAAATGAAATGTGCTGATTCCGGATTTCTTGGATGCCGAAATCCAATTGGTTAAACTGACAGTGGGTGGAGTTTCACAGACCAAAACAAAACTAGATGCTGTGTCCCAATTTACATACTATCCATTCTAAATAGTGTGCAAAAATAGTCCAAAATCATAGTATGCTCAAAAATAATAATAGGCATTGTTAATTAATCTTAAGTGTTACCATTAACTTATCAATGTCCTTTCCTAGGAGAATGTAGGAAAAATACCTCCATAAAGGACTACAGGATGAGGAAAGCATCATACTGGCTTATCTGGCTGCATTCCTCAATGCCTAAATAAAAGAATCTGATAAAGGAATATATGCAAATGTAAATACAGATGTGAATTAATCTGGTAAACAGCAGCGAGAGCAGCTCTTGAGCAACAGGCTACATGAGAACAGCAGAACTGGAGACACTTGGGATCAGAGAGTCATGTGAAAGAGCCGTCCACCCATGCACTTCTCATTTCTCATCACGGTTTGTGTGTTGGAAAAACAATTGGTGACCCGTGACACACGAGCTGAAAGAGCAGCACATGCACAACGCAAACCTCGGACATTCACCATCTGCTTCAACAACAGCTTGAGCTAAAGAACTAACCTGCTACAGCTGTAAACTCTATAGAAAGCCTAAAGAATAACTATATTAAACAAACATCTTCTTATGCTATTTAATTCTATATATAATGTACACAAACACAGCTTTTACAGTAACTTATACTCATAAAAATTGTGGTTGCGCTTAATTTTAAGATGTCCTTGTTATAGTGTGACCATATATGTAAGTACTAAGTAAAATAAATTAACTATATGTACTTAATATGTGGTTAGTGTTAGGTTTCTGTGCAACTTAAAATGTCAAGTTAAGTGTTACCAAAATTGTTTCTACTCTGTCATAATTATTTACATGCAATACTTTTTATGATTTAATCAGCTGGTTTTCTGTTTGAAATGCTGGTAGAGGGAATACATGTACTGTAATAAATGCTGCGGCTCACTAGTAGTAATGGTAGCATTATGGCTAAGTCTCTCTGTGCTGTGCTGCAGTATGAGCTCTCTCATTAACACAACACTGTTATCCCGGGCTGGAATTTCTCACTCGCCAACCAGAGGAAAGTCCTGTGAACCCTGAGCACATCTGGGTTTAATTAAGGTGCATAAAAAGCTTTTATTGAACGAGGTCATCAATGTATCACTTACAGCTATTTTTAGTCCTGCGACCTCTTAAATCCAGCGTGTGTGCAAGAAACCTTTGTTTCGACAGTAAAATACGACCCCTAGAAGGTATCGAGTTCAGTTTATGTACATTCCTCCATTTCTGACCAACCGGAATCCTGCTTAAATCCATCGCACATACAGTTTAGAGTAATATATACAGTAAAATGTATTACGTATAGTATAAACTACAGTATAAAGCATATTAATATGCATATTAATACATTGAATGGCTGCCAAAATAGACTAATCACAGGTCAGTGATTAAAATAGTCCAAAAGTAGCTAAAAATGTTTTAAAATGTGTCGATTTTGATTTTATAATGGCAGATGCTCATGTCTGATGCAACAAGTAATGTATTTTGTAAAGAAATATCCAAATTTCTATTAATTTAGCAAATCAATCCAATGAAAATATATTATGTAAAAACATTTGAAACAGCCTTCCAAACAATGAGATAAAATCTGAATAAAAATGAGGTAAACACTACAATACCAATAAAATAAAGATTTGTTGTTATTTTTTCATTTTTTTTTAATAAACGATAACATTAAAAAAGACAGAGAATGGCAGTGGGTAGAATTTTCAGAACTGTCACGTTAAAAGTCTCACTGACAGAATATCAATCAAAATTAATCAACCAATCGACCAACCAACCAACCCATCAATCAATAAATCAATCAATCATTCAACCAATAATCCAACCAACCAACTAACCAACCCATCAATCTATTAACCAACCAACTAACCAATCAAACCCCATCTAAACTAATCAAAACCAATCGATCAACCAACCAACCCGCCATCCCACCAATCAATCAACCAACTAATCAACCAACTAATCAACCAACTAATCAATCAATCAATCAATCAATCAATCAATCAATCAACCAATTAAAAAATTAATCAATCTATCAACCAACCCACCAATTAATTAATCAATCAATGAATCAACCAACCAACAAATTAACCCATCAACCGACCTAATCAACCAATTAATCAAGCATTCAATCAATCAACCAACCACACAACCAACCACCCACCCAAATCAACTAATCAATCAATCAACCAACTGACCCATCAATCAAGCAAGCAACCAACCATATAGACCAATCAATCAATCAATTAGCCAACTTACCAACCAAATTAATCAACCAACCAGCCACCTAATCAACAAACAAACCAACCTACCAACCCAATCAATCAATCAATCAATCAATCAACCCACTGATCGATCAATCAACCAACCCATAAATCAATCAACCATGTAACCAACCCATCAATCAACCAACTAACAAATTAACCCAACCAACCAAATCAACCATATAATAAATCATTTAATCAATCAATCAACCAACCCAACAACCAACCAACCAAGAAATCAATCAACCAACAAACCTATTGATTAATCCACAAACAAACCAATCATACAATCAACCAATGAATCAATCCAACCAATGAATTAATCAATCAATTAACCAACCCACCAAATCAAGCAATCAACCAGCCACCCATCGATCAATCAACCAACCAAACAAACAACAAATCAACCAACCGACCCATCGATCAACCAACCACCCAACCAACCAACCAACCAACCCACCAACCTACCAATCCACCAACCAAATCAATCAATTAATCACTCAATCAATCAATCAATCAGTCCTGAGCTGGTGATCATTCTTGAAACACATTTCCACTGCACAGATGACTGTTTGCTGCAAGACCAAAGATCCGTGTTGTTTGCTTTGACCTCAAAGACTAAGAAGATACAAAAACAAAACAAAACAAAAGTGAAGTGAGTGAGTGATGAACTCTACCTACTCGCCAACGATCTGACAGTGAAATGAACCCAACAAACACAATACTGACTACACAACATTTGAGTTCTGAAACAGGTCAAAAGATGAAGGAGTGTTTGATGTTTTCAATACACGAGCCCTTTAAAGGGAGAATGATTTGTATGTAGTGTGCGAGACAGAGAGATGCTGAGTCAGTAGGGAGGGACTGATCTTTGGCTCCAGACTCATATTTGAGGCAAATGGTCAGGAGGACGACGAAGGAGCACTAATGGCAGCAGTGATGCATTGAACAGGAGATAATAACACCTCTTAAAGCACTGCAGTGATGATGTATATACGTGGACCAACTGTTTGAGACTAGCTGTTTCGAGTTATCCAGTAATATTGTAATATCGTAATATTATTAAAGATTACAATCATAACAATATCAACAGCAACATTCAGACACAATCGCACAATCGTGGAGCCATGGAAGCGCTGACAGCCAATTCTACATTATCTCCACAGCAGGGCAGCACATTCCTCCAGCCTATGACACAATCCCAAACCTAAATATTCAAAAATTACGACATTCCATTACCACGTCTATTATTCCCATCATCATCATCGCCATCGTCCACAAGTGGTCCCAATAACTTACTGGAAACGAATCTCTACCCTCGCCAAGAAAAGAGGCAAGTCGTCCAAGTGGAGCTAAAATTACCCAAATATTTCAGGCTTACGACAACACTGCCACATACCTAGAAATAATAACCCAGGCGTTCAGTCGGCTGCTGGACTGGGTTTGGCGAGCGGGCATTCTTCACTAGCGTTAGACTAAACGTGAGGACAATAGCGTGAAGTGCTGATCCAGCATACCTGACAGCTCCTGGCTACAGCTATCTTCAAAGGTCGCTGCTTCTCTTTGAACGCCATTACGCTTTAAACCCCTTTGGCTTCCACAACAGCGCACTTAACGGCTTCAGCATGTTTGGCACAGACCACCGGCCCCAAAATCTTGGATGTGGAGGAGGTTCTCGAAAAAAAAAAGACCAAAAAACGGCCTCAAACATTAAAGGCAGCGCTGAGTCAAAAACAGGGTCGAGCTGTATATCATCTGATGCATTATTAGGTCAACGTTCGCTGCAGATTCTCCACGTTTTGAAGGCCAACACTATCTGGCTTGTACAAACATCTAAACATTTGTAAAATCAAGCCGAATTTACTGGAGGAGCAAAATGACTAAGCAGATCTTCTGTTCTGTGTGACTAAAGGAGGCTGGGGAGGGTTCATCAGGGTCACACAAAACAAACCTTCATTCAGCTTAGTACCTTATTCATCAGGGGTCACCACAGCGGCACGAACTGCTAACTATTCCAGCATATGTTTAATGCAGTGGATGCCCTTTCAGCTGCAACCCAGTACTGGGAAACACCCATACACTCTCGCAGGCTTTGGACTGTGGTTGGACACCCAGCCAACACATGGAGAACATGCAAACTCCACACAGAAATGCCAACTTGCTGTGAGGTGACAGTCCGAACCACTGAGCCACCGTGTCACCCAAAACAAACTTAACTCATGAAAAAGTCTAA